CAAAATTAAATATTAATTTTAACTAGATACTCATAATTTGTATTCAATATTATTCATTCATTTCATTTCACGGAAACAACTACTATTCCTCTTTGTAAAACTATTTAATTATATTATTGAAAATCAATATACATAATTGATTCGGATGGAACCATTGTCCCCATGATACATTTGGTGATCACAAAGTAATTTCAGTGATTATCGACGATAATGTGACAACAATGAAATTATCGAGAATCATCAATGATGATTTAGTCATAGACAAAATTTTCTAGTTAGGCTCCATTTGGTACGCATTAATGTAAAAATGAGGATGAAAAATATAGTCGTTATGCATCCCACATAAAAGATATACCTTTGGTCAAATTGAGAATTTTTTTTTTAATGTATTTTTAATAATACATTTTTCGAGATCCACAATTTTTATCAGTCTTTATTAAAATCTACTAAAAATATGATTTTAATCAAAATCATTGAGAAGCTTACATTATTGATAGATTAATTAAAATTTCTAAATTGATACGCCTTATTGGCAGTATCGATAAGTTGAAGCATCATTAATCAATGTGCACAATTCTTTTACGGTATTTTTTATTTTCTAGACTTAACAATACAAAATGTAAGAAAAAATAATTAATATTTATGTATCACTCTATATTGGACGTGTTGTGATGTACATTTAAATATTGTTAAGTTTTGGAGTGTAACAACAATATAAGACCTTAAAAAATATCAACAGATCCCATGTCGCTTTTCGTATTGTATTTAATCCATGTTTTATCTTGACAACTTTTTTCCATACTCTCAGATGTTGGCCTCATCCCAAACATGGCTGGCGTTGAAAAGCATGGTTATTTTTTTATTTTTTTTCACAAAAGTTTCAATTTTATAATAGATGTAACGTAAAGGTTCTTGCACGAAAATTGTTTTTCTTACAGCCCTATAATTAGGGACCTTGTACAGTCACGCCTCTTGGCTCTCGAATAACCTTAGGATCGTCCTTGCTAGTACAACAAAAAGATCTTGACGGATTTCCAAATTATATAATGTAGATGAAAGAATGGACTTTTTGACTCTCTGATTGATAGACAATCGTCACTTTTGCTATTACCATGCAATTATATTTGAGAGAGAAAATTATGCAGGTTTCATTTTTACATCTTGCAACTTTTTGAGAGAATATTTGGTGCACAATGCCATGAATATATATTATCTTTGAAAAGGAAGAAAAGATTCAGAGAGCGGGAGAGAAAAGCAAAAGGTAAAAGAAATTGGAGCTAAGAGTAAGAATCTATGCCCATTAAAAGAAGAACCCTTTTACCCTTTTTTTTTTTCACTCAAATGCTCTCAAAAAAGGTACAATTTTATACCGTTAATGCAAATCTGCATACTTTCGTTTCCTTGTCTCTTATTTTTTAGACTTTTTGGGATCTTAGATTTCATGGAACAACCCCAAGCAAATATAACAAAATGTAACACCATTTTGAATATCGTTACAATGGAAAGAATCATGTATATAACTGGAAAATCGGGCTTTAATACTACATAGAAATTGTTTTGAATGTGCAAAGGTAACTTCAAAACTTAAGACTTAAAAGTGCACAAGAGAGTCAGATGTTACTTAAGCAACGCCGAGCTGAACTTTCAACCACTAAAATAGTGGTTAATTATTTCATTCTCAGTTTTTTACTATTAGCTTGGTCTACCCTTCAAAATTCGGATATCTTAATCGATCATGCTACTTAAATAGGGAAATTTGACAAAAAGTGGTGACGGACAAGACTTGACATTTATTTATTGGAAGATGAAATTTAAAAATAAAATAAAATAGACGAATCACTATTCGCCACGCCAGCCCTGTCAAATTTTCCTATTTGAATAGTTTAATTCTATCTTAATTACATTTCGATCCCCAAAACATTAAAGTTGGTCTAGCCTTCACAACTTCACTTAAGATCTACAAAAGATAACTGAAAATTCAATGTACATTGACACACAGCTACAAATACAACTTCTATAGTCTAGAAATATGAATGAATTTCAAAACATATATTAAATTTTGTATTTCGAACTTCATTCCTGCTTTTCACAAAAGCAAACTGAATTAGAAGGAAAAAAAACTTGATTCCTGAAACTCACAGATATTTGTCTTTTCTTCCTTGTCAACGCTTTCACTGCCGAAAGCCGGAGGGCGGAGGCCAAGGATTTAAGATTACCAAAACTTCAAAGAGACCAAAAGAATGTCGAAAGACTGCAGGAGTCCCATTCACTTTATTTTCAGTGCCAATTTAGTTTGGTATCTAATCAAGTCCATTCATAGAAATTGAGGGCAACAGCGTAGCATATTCAACCATATCTGGCACCTGCCTCCTACACAGTATTACGGCTAATATTAATAATTCTTTGGATAATGAATTCCTTAGCAAGAATGCTCTACTATTGAACAAAACCAAGAATACGTTACAGGAATCTTCTATTATTTGTTACAGGAAATTTTGAAAAACACTATGGGATAACAAATTGCTCGATCCCTCCAAGCGCATGCACTTCGAATGGGATAACACGTTTTGTGCACAAACACTAGACAAGAATGGATATACAAAACTCTAGCTTCTTTCTTTACATTTTCCAATCCACCTCACAAACATGCCCTGAATGAGTAGGGTTGTACGCTTTAATCAAAGGCAAAAAGATGGCGTTTGAATGGTAAAACTTGGTAAAAGTTTCAAAGCCAGGGTGTAGAACAGAGGAGACATGGTGCATTCTTCTAGGGAAATTTCGTTGGTCTTAAAATTTCTTTATTTGGAAAAGAGCAAGGGGCCAAACTGGGGTCTTGACAACTGCAGTCTGACAATTGACACCGAATTAGTATTACTGAAGTCTGAAAGATCATTTACTCCATGCTGGAGAATTAGGAGAAGATGCATACACCGTACACTTCTCTACATTCCACCCTCACCCCCACATAAGTAAATGCATTAGCTGTTGGTACATACACGTCAAAGTTGACAAGGGACAACCCATAGAGAATCTCAATCTCCTCTAACAGTCAACTTCACAAAGTCATATTAGGGATGCTACCTTGAAGCTACCATAATTATTCTTCATCGTAGTAGATTCGTGCAAAAATAATCTTAAGAAAAGCATCTGCATATCCAGAAAAGTTAAAAAACCTTTTGTACATAAATTAAGCGCATAGAACACAATTGTTCTGAAACTGGTCTATTCATTTGAGAAAGAAATGATTTAAGAATGATGGAATCGGATCGATTGCTTCTTTGTTACCCTACTTCTCCCATGTTTATGCACATCATTGGTATCGTCATCTCCATCATGCTTCCTCCTCTGATATAATAAATTATATACATATTTAGACAGTTCATTGATCGAAAATCCATCAATATTTATAGGATTGTACAGATTGTGGTTTATAGGTACAGATTTTCATAGAAGACTATAGTTAGACCAAATCAATATCATAGGACAATTGAAATTCCCATCAATTCGCTCAAAAAGTATCTATAGATCTTCTCATCATTCATCGCCTAAAATAGCATTTACATGAATTGGTAAACTTCAATAACAGGCAAAGTAATATGGCACATGATAATAAATGTAATTCAAAACACATGCACGCATATTGCTAAAAGTTGCAGAGAACATGAGTTTTAAACCTTCTCGTGATGTTTCTTCAAGCCCTCGATGTTGAATTTAATTGTAATCATGCTAAAAATCAGAAATCACAATAATAATAAATTGATAAATCGAATTCATATCTGTGAAAGTCATTGTTGATATGAATAATAGCAACTAAATCTTTCCCTCATTGCTCCTTACAAAGTATTAGCCGTCAATAGTAGGGCTGGGCAAATCTCCCGAACCGAACCCGAACCGAACTGAACCGAACCCGACGGTTCTTGTCAAATTAAATACCCGAATGGGTATCTGAATTGAGAACCGACGGGTACGGTTCGATTCTCGGTTCTAGACCAAGAATCGAGAACCGAATCTTTCTAATTTTTTTTATATTGAGTAAATCAAATTATTTTAATTTTAATTTTTTCTATACAAATTAACAATTTCTAAATCCAAATTTTTGGCCCAATAATTTGTTTCATTTCTAATTTTTTAATTTTTGGCTCAATTACCCATTTTATTGTTTCATTTCTTAGCTCAACAAGATCCAATCCACTAAACAACCCTAAACACTTACACTAAAGTGCATAACGTTGTCTCGACTCTCGCACTCACTCTCGCAGCTTCGCTAACATTCCAAAACCTATACAATCGTCGACCGACACTGTGACCTCCGATCGAAACTGTGACCTCCCTCGACCGAAACTTTAACCGTAGCGATCATTTGAACAAAATAGTCTACTAGTTTCTGACATTCCAAAACCATTGAATGTATCATTAGTTGTATTTATATAATGTTGTTATAAATGCTCGACTCTCGCACTCACTCTCGCAGCTTCGCTAACATTCCAAAACCTATACAATCGTCGACCGACACTGTGACCTCCGATCGAAACTGTGACCTCCCTCGACCGAAACTTTAACCGTAGCGATCATTTGAACAAAATAGTCTACTAGTTTCTGACATTCCAAAACCATTGAATGTATCATTAGTTGTATTTATATAATGTTGTTATAAATGTTAAAAAATTTAATTATAGTACAAAACCGAACGGAACGAAACCGAACCCGAACGGTTCCATAATTATATTTGGATTCGACAGTTCCATTTACTAGATACCCGAAAATTTTGGTTCGATTCGGTTCTCTTTAGAACCGAATTGAACCGACCCGCGCTCACCCTTAGTCAATAGGGCAAAATAAAACAACATGGAGAGGAGATGAGACATTGCCTTTACATAGGAAATTAACAAGTCGTCTCATTATGTCTTAAACTCTCATTAGGATTTACATATATTTCCGGCCCACATATTTAAAATTACCACATCATATTAAATACAACCCCTAAGGTATAAAAGGCCCAATTGATCATTTAATAAATTTGGTCCAATCACAAATATCATTATGAGTCATACATTCAACCCGTAATATAAACAATCAAATGAGAAGCCGACATTAGAATTATTCCAACATTCTTCCACTTTGGCAAACATTTGATTACTATAACAAAACTTTTAACACCTGGGTTAGACTACATAGTTGGCCACAAAAGTATAACTCCAATGATGACACTTTATGCAACATGATCCGGTCCAACAAGAATGTTAACATCGAACATGGAAGTCATTACACCAATTAAGCAATGTAAGATCATTCCACAACTACAAATGCCAACATCTTTATCGACATGGATGGTCCTCCAACCAATGTGGTAGTATGTGATATGAACTTAGCACCAAATGTGATCAATTTCTACCGGGCAAATCTTGAAAAAAGTTTCATCAACTGCATGGAAGGGGCTAAAACTCATGGTTTTCCCCTGTTCAACAATTTTGACATGAAGTCGAAGTGAAAGGTCAAGCAACATCTCCCCATTTGGCAAAAACCCACTTCAACCACAGAAAGAAGCAATGCTTTGACAGGTGTTCTGGCAGGTCTACCTACATAACAGCATAATGATCCAAAATTAGTGATATAACATGGCTTGCAATATACTTGTGCACTTGTCTGTGTCAGAGAGTGAGAGAGAAGCAGTGAAAAGGGGAAAAGAAACCAGGGATACAGCATGAATGACACGCAAAACAAACTGAAAGTGCAAGAACATAATTGACACAGTAAAACTTCACATAACGCTCCCAGAACAAATTCAATACAAAATCACAAGCTTGCTGAGAAAATTAGAAATAACGTGAAACCATGAGACTAGTTACAGCACATGCACGACTTCAAATCGAACAGTAGCCTACATTATTTTGGAGCTACCAATAAGAGGAGTTCTGTACTTCATACTGACAAAAGTGAAATGAAGTTCTTGGTAGAATTTTTGAAGCTAATCATGGTTTCAAAAATTCAAATGTTCTTGAGAAACTAATCCTTCACATAAGAATAGTCATGAACGATTCCATAAACTGAGGTTTTTATGCATTTCTTCATTTTCTATTTCAAGGTATGCCTAAAAAGCAAAGTTTTTAACAATATTTATGAGCATTCGAGTATATTGACACCTCAAGTTCCTAAATCCTATACCTAAATTCACACAGCCAAGAGATGGCAAAAAATTATGCGATACCAGCAACAGGACAGGCATAAATTACATCTAAATGAAGGCTGTCAGACTTACACTGCTCCACGTAGTAGAATAGCCATCAGTAGAAAGCAGCCAATCACCAGCCTTAGATTGTAAATCCAGCCTGTTATTTGACAAATCAAAATCTCTTAACTCATTTTCATCACTTTCGTCTCGATCAAAACTCCTCCTCCTCTTCTTTTTTTGTTTTCTTTTCTTCTTAGACTTGAGTCTCTTTGAAGACCTTTCATCTAAATCAGATCCACAATCTTCTGAAATTTCGTCGTGTAACAATGTATACTTGTTGGACTTGTGAAACCTTATCCCATTATTGATAAATAAAGATTCCCAGGATTCAGGAGAACAAAATTCCTCTGACAGCCTAAAATGAATAGCCCAAGACTGCAGACCTAACAATATTATAGCTTCTATTGTTTTCCTGTTAAAGCATTCTTTCATGATTGGTGTCAAATCATTGGCACTGCCTGATTCACAAAGCTGAAAAACTAATTTGTTTATCTTTTCCTTTACGTCCAAACTACCTTCCTCTCGCACAAAATGCAGGAGCTGCCGACCTTGAGTAGTCACTGCATTCAGTAGAAGTAGCTGATTGATAGTCCAATCAGCAGTGCAGTTTGAAAGTATAATCTCAAGCCACTGAGATGCATTACCATACTCGATTGATTCTGACCTTGGATTAAGATGTTTACTGATCATATCTAGGAATAGCTGCAACTCCTGCTCGTTAAGAATGATAAGAAGGTGATGACATAAAAATGAAAACGATTCCTCAGTGAGGAACTCATCTATAACTTCCCATATTTCTTCCAAGTCCTCTTTATACATCAGGTCAACAAACAAATTGACAAAGAATTTCGTATCAATATCCAAAATCTCACCGTCCTTTAACGAGTCTGAAAACTCACGTGATGACCAAAATTCAGGCACGTATTCAAGAAAATTCTCTACTGTCCGTTGGACGTCCAGATCAAGGAAGTACTGTGGCTTTGTAGCAACCATTGCAGGTGACTGCCCATGTTTCCCTTTCCACTCAAGTTCCTCCCAACAAAGGTCCCGATTCACAAAGGAAAATTGGGACAGTGCCTTAGCCCCTTTTCCATGCTCCAAACCACTGCTACCGGAAAAATTAGAGAACCACTGCAAGATACGTACTGGGTTTCCTGAATTATTACCAGTTCATCAATTCAAAAATAGTGGACAACTTTCAAATGCAAAAAACCAATCTTTCACAAAGTAAACAATATTTTGCCATGGGTAACTACATATTTGGCAAGCTAGACCTTGACCGTGAAGATATTAGCATCTTGTTGAGATATTTTTTGAACCATATATAAACTACATATTATCCCCAAGACTTGAGAAGCTTTACAGATCATTCTAGAAAACTATATATTGAAACAAATTGAACTTTTAATCATTTTATTATGTTAAAGCTATACAAATAAATAAAACTGTACAATAAACACCAAAATTATATTTATTGAACTTTCTGTTTCTGCCTGCAATTGAATTTGAAGTATGTATAAAACAAGAAGCTAAACATTAATCCTGATAAATTGGGAACCGGCCACATCAATCCTTTTCCATCACTGCATTTATCCAAAGGTGCCTCTTTTTATCTAAATTTGAAGTAGTGATTTTTGATAATCAAATAATCCCATCATCAACGGGCAAATGAGATATCTATCAATCCATGTAACAATAATACTTTTTCTTGTGGGTGGTTTAAATACTACATGTAAATCATGTTTCAAAATGCACATTAAATTATTCATTAATCAGAGAGATCTGCTTCCAAAATCAAGGTCCAGTTAATCCCATGAGGAGAACAAATGTTTACATGAAAGTAGATCAAGGATTACCAACCCACTCATTTTTACTAGTCTACAAAAAACTGAATCTGCAAGCACTTTATTCAACGGCAGATTGAATTTTCAGCTTGAGAAGTCACTTGCCTCTGAAGAAATCCTGTAACATGTAACTTTTTTTGGCTATAATAGGTCCCACCTTTTGTGGCTGCTTATCGAATATCAATTGCAGAAGTTGTGCTGCTAAGTGCTGCTTTGTTGGCTTGGATGTCAGTAAGCTCAAAAATAGCTCTTGTTGGCGGCGTGGGCTAATAGAACTTATTCCTGAAAGGGTGTTGCAAAGCCAGAGCCGAGCTTCTGATCGGCCACTTGAAGACATTAATGACTGGATAAGTGATTCTAACTCACTCAGAAGATATTTTTTTTGCTTAGCAGATTCATCATTAGCATTGTGATCAATCCATTTCGGCTCAGAGAGAAACAGCTGAAGCATTGTGTATCTGAAATTTAAATAATTTTCACAGAAAACACATTAGCCCATATACTTGAATCTAAAAAATAGTAATAGTTGCAAAGTTCATGCCTACATTCAATAATATTAATTGAAATAAGTGTTTTCAACAACACATAAAAAACACAAATCCCTAGCATTCCACGACCCAAAACCATATAAAAACAGATATCATGCTTGAGCATTTCAGGAGCTCGACGCTTATTTACCATCATAAGAGGGGAGAAAAAACATAAGTTTTAACCTCCTCGATAATTCGCAACCAGTGAACCAACTGCGCCTACGAGTTTATTTACCAATTGAGCAGGAAAGAAAATCCAGTATACAGAAGAAAAAATTCTTAAAAATTCATTAGGAAACCCTATGGCTCAACCTTAACTAAATTGAGGGTAATCTAGTAAGAATCGAAAGCATGTATGTATGCTAGAAAACAAAAATAGAGGAAAAATTATGTGTACCTAATATTGGAGGGAGAATCTCGTCTCTACAATTTGCAGGTCGCAAGGCTTGTGCCGGACAGTCGCTGGTTCTTGCTTAAGAACGTGTTTGTTTGTTTATAAGTAATTTTTAACAAATTAAAACTTTTCCTTTTTTAATGAGTGAATAAAATTATGAAAGAAATGTCTTTTTTGACATTCCATCTTGAAAAATGGCCAAAATTGTAAGAAATTGTGTGTGTTAACAAGTCAAGATCAGAATCGATGTTTCAAGATAGTAGTTGAAGTAAATACTTGAAACGTATAAACATTTTAGGTGTAAAGTAAATTTGTTACTAAATTTTTAGTTTGATTGATTTAGGTGAAATCTTTAAATAAATAGTAAAGTTTTGGGGTTAATTTCATCGAACTTTTTACTTAAGGGATGTGTATTCAATTGAGACTTTTAAAGACTTTTGGAGATTTTTTAAAGTGAATGCCTTTTGTGGACTTTGCGAAATTTTAAATGATTTTTATGGATTTTGTAGGAATTAATAAAAGTTTTTCCTAGATTTGTGGAGACTTTTGAAAACTTTTTTTTTTTTTAAAGAATATATTAAACATATATAATGTAATATGTTTAACAACTTCTTATATATTCAAATCGTCCACAACTCGTCCCATGGGGCACATCCCAACAGGCAAAGGACGGACTTTTTCAAGACGGGCAGTTCAGAAGTCGCAGGTTCGATTCATGGGGCTCTTGGAAGGCAGATTTTCTCCTGGAAGGCAAAGGACGAACTTCTTCAAGGCGGGCAGTTCAGAAGTCGCAGGTTTGATTCATGGGGCTCTTGGAATGCAGATTTTCTCCTGAAAGGCAGGATTTTTCCTGGAAGGCAGGAGTTCTCTTGGAAGGCAAGGAGCATATATGGGGTTGACTCGCTCGGTACTTTGGCAGTTCAGTTGGGAGGGCTCTTGGACCCTAACCAGTTTGGAGCATAATCCGCGATTTACCTGATCTGCGTGAAGAGAGGTTGGATCGTAGATCCCAAGATTAGTAGCTGTAAGGTGAACACCTGGGTATCAAAATATATATATATCGTCCACAACTCATATAATTGAAAATGTAAAGTAATAAATCGTATTTTTCATGTCAATTTTTTTCCAAAAAAAAAGAAAACAAATATTTCGTCAAACATAAAGTACTTTTTCATCTTATATCAAGTAAATTAACAACTAATAAAAATACTAAAAAAATAGTATTTTAGTAATGATAAAAAAAAAATATCAAACATTTCCAACATCATTCCACATGTCTGCTGCTAGAAAAGCCCTCCGTGCATTTTCATTCTCTCTTTCTTGTTCTTGACTTTCAAAAAATGGTCCAAAGTCTTCCCCCTCATTAATCGAAAAAGATGAAGAATCTTCGTTATCGGGTTCGATTGGAAATTCATCGGACCAACATTCTTTCCGGAGAAAATTATGTAATCCTGCACAAGCTAATACGAGTTCGGCTTGTGTACGATTTGAAAATCCACAGTCTCCCAAAAAATATTTACCTGAATATAAAATACTTGTAAAGTTAACAAGTAATTATGAAACAATAAGATAAAAGAAAAAAATGAAATAATATAGTCGTACATTATGGCACTTTAAGTCCATTTCTCCTTGTTAAAGCATCACTCAACACTTTAGAATTATGTGTTGATCCCTCCCACCCAGTAATCACGTATGTCAAACTTTACACCTCTATTTCTTGTTATAGCTCATGTCAATCATGATCTATGCAATCAAAAATATATTGTTAAGACGGTTCACTAAACCCAAGCAATCCTAAATACTTCTACGTCCATATGGTAGGATAGGTTGAGAAAGAAACTTGTTAAATGAGACTGAAGAAAAAACAAAGCATCTTAAAAACTCTCATTTCTAGTCTATTATTTGATACTATTTAAGCAAATCTTCTTGCATGGGGGTAAAAGGACCTTAAATGTACCCAGCCATAAGCCAAAAAGTTTTATACAGGCAATGAAACAAAAAGAATGAGTTTTTTCTTATCGTTGTGAGAATTACAACTGAGGCATCCTTAAAAAAAATACATAAAATGATACAGCATATATCTGTGTAAGGCTAAATACATAAGGCATCCTTAATAAAAAGGTATAGCCATATAGGATAGGCAGCGCATAACTATGGAAGGCTAAATAAGCTGATACATCATATATCTATAAACTCAAAAGTATGAGAGAAGTCGACATTCGATTATACATTGAACTTCCTTAACACCTCTCCAACTTCTTTCAATATTCTATGTAAAATTGACAACAAGGCTGTTAAACAAACCAGTGATATGCTTATCACTTTTGGACTTTTCCAGTAAGACAAAAAATATCTTACAGTGTCATAGAGTGAGTAGCTTTGTGATTAAAATTGACAACTTGAGAGCGGGAGGCACAAAGAAATAGCACAAAATAATGTTGATAAAAACATAGCGAAGATACATGCTCAAATTAATGTGTTGGAAGTAAAAATCCAGCTCCTTTTCCTTTTCTTTATTCAGTTTTTTTTTTCTCTGCGACGGCCTTAATTGTCATATAATAGCAATAGTCCCATTTTTTCACTTGCCATTGATTTATCGTGCATACAGCATAGAGAATATAATATACAACAATGCCATCAAATTGCACTTTGTCTAATTTAAAAAAGTCAACCAAATATTTAAAGAAAATCACAAAAAGTACATGCCCAGCTATAAAATTTAATTCATCTGTACTATTCCTACACACCAGAAAAATCAACAAAAATAAGCTAAAAAACTTATTAAAATCTGCTTCAAATTACTAAAAGCAACTAATGAAAAACACATAAATTTATCATAAAACACAAATCATTATAAATCAAACAGAAAATTGATTGGAAGATTCAAAGAAAATCTACTATAAATTTGCCGGATTTGAAGAAAACTCATATCAAAGATGGAGGAGATTCAAAGAAAACTCGTAGCAAACAGCAAACTCATAGCAAAGGTCTATCCGTAAATTCATGTTCTGCCATAGTAAACTCAGAAATTTAAGATGGAGGAGAAAAATACAAGAGAAGAGGCCAGATTGGAAGAGAAATATTGTGAAAGGTTCTGAATCTTGTGTCATAAATTCATGTTATATCAAACTCATACCTAATTGGAAGAGATGGAGGAAAAAACCCTAGATGGAAAGAGAGAAGAGGTGGGCTGTGTTGAGAAATCTCTTGATGGATGAGAGATTTGTTTTGAGAAATCCTCTTTAAATTTTCTATCAAAAAGTCTGAAAGTCCTATAAAGTATAATTTTCTAAAAGTCATTTTCAATTGAATACTCCAGGACTTGTAGAGATTTTTAAAAAATTTCAATTAAATACCACATAACTTGTAGAGACTTTTTAAAAGTCTATAAAAGTCTCAATTAAATACACCCAAACTTTTAGAGAGTTTTTGAAAGTCTCAACTGAATACACCAAAACTTTTTAAATCTCCAAAAGTCTTTAAAAGTCGTAATTGAATACACCCTCTTTAGTGTCATTGAGGTTTCTAACGTTTGAACATTTTGATAATGAGATTTTGAATCTTTGATTTTTAGCGCTCGAAATTGCAAAGCTTTCAAATGTCTACATTTAAGGTCATTTTGTAACTTACAAGCCAATTTTTTCGTTGAAGGTCAAATTTTGAATAAAATGATCATTACTCTTAGCCTCCGTTTGAGCCAAATTATTTGGCCAAATAAATGAAAAAGTATATCGTTAATAATCATTTCCAGTCACAATTATTGGCCTCTTCTTTCACGTGTGGGACCTGACTGAAGCTGCAACCATCACATTTTTCATTTTAGTGGATGGAAAATATGGCTCAAACAAGGCTTTAATATGATTTGAAGTTTAGATGACATTTCCCATCACGCGACTTGTGAGGATATGATGCACAATGTTAAAAGGTTGAAGACATGAATGGTGTAGATAGAAGGTTAGAGCCCTGGAGGAAAGGTCGTGGACCCTTGGAATTTACATTTTTAGCTTTCATTTTTAATTTAAAAAAAAAAAAAACCTTTTCAAAACTTCCTTATTTACTTGCAATTTACAAATGAACTTTTATAAGCTTAGCCAAACACGACCGAGTGGTCTCAGCCGATAAAATTGAGAAAAGATATGGGGTGCGCAATAGAACTAGAATCACTGATAGGTTTTAAGCTATCTTATTGTGATTGAAGTTTGGAATTTCTGCCTTTAGCAAAGAATCGTCAAAAGGCCCATCTCAATTCATATTTAAGCATATATATGTGTGGGTGTGTGCAGTACAACAAGCCGACTTGCTCGGCTCGTTGAGCTCGCGAGCGGCTCGTGCCCATGAGCCAAAAGTTTACGGGGCTTGTAAAAAATGTAAAGAAAAATCTGAAAATTTCCCCAAAAAAAAGGTCGAGCTCGCCCCTTGAGCACGAGCCGAGCTCAAGCTCAGCTCGTTATTAAGGAGCCATGAGCTCGGCTCGTGATGAGCAAGAGCTAGCTCGGCTCGACCCATTGCCATCTCCAATTTTGCTGGGGGTTTAGGATTTTGTAATGAGGAGGGGTTAAAAATAACTCATCACAAATGCTAAGACCCAAAGAAAGAGACAATGAAATTATGAAATGATCTCCTTAAGTTGAATTTATAGACAACGTTATGAACTATTTATTCATTTTTACTATTTTTCTTCTGGGTCTCAAGGATTTTACTGTGTTTTTCTTTGGTATTAACTGTTTCTCGCAATTTTTACCGTTCTTTTGTTTCTATAACCAAATAATAATAATAATAATAAATAAATAAATAAACTAAGCCTTATATGCAATAAACTAAACTTGGCTATGTGAGTCATTTTTGTCAGTCCATTTGATTCCAACATCTTTAAGTTCATAAAATCTAATATTATGACAGAAGTTGAAATGTTTGCGACCAAATTTTTGTCATCCTCTTCTCCCATAACATGTTATGAGATTACTCTGTTTCTGTAAGCTATTATATCTGCCTCTTTTAACCTAAATATATAGCCTATTCTTTTGGATGCATTTCTCTGGACAACTTCTAGTGGACATGTAGTTATATACATGTGTTGCAGAGAGGAGATTATATTTCCCTACTAGTGTAGTAATGATTAGGAAATAAGATATCCTCTCTCCAACAGGTGATTATATTAAACATATACGGTGAGAAATATTTTATAAAGGATCTCTCTTTTCTTTTTTTGGAAAATAGAGTCACAACTCTCTCTTGATACAACATGCTATTTTTTCCATTCATTTTCTTTCAAGATCAGTCGCGGTCTTCCACACTTTACCGATGGTATGGACGAATTCCTCGCTTCATCTAAATGTGTAAAAGATTCTAGTTGCACTTAATAGTCGGGTACTCTACCGTTGAGTTAGCAATCTGAAGAAAATATAAAAAATTATCCAATGATAGAGTTTGTTTTATGACTTATTATGTCTCATCCCCTTTTTCTTTCTGGTTAATACTAGAATAAGTTGCGGGTTTCTTTTCATTATATTAATTATATTTTCAGAATGTGCCCTCTACCATATCTATACGATTGCATTGTTTCTTTTGTTGTTATAATTCTTCACGGGATGCTCTGATGTACTGAGCTTCTCTTTTGCTGCTGCTTTTTGGAGTGCTACTTATATTTTGGCTGCTGTTCTAGGAGTCTTCTGGGTCTTACAATTTTCTTAGAATCTCAATTTCCAGTTGATTTGACAAGTATTTTGAGAAACATACTGAAGGAAGGAAAAATGAACCATCATGGGCTACGCACAGCTAGTTATTGGCCCTGCGGGCAGTGGAAAGGTGATTCATGAAATTGTGTTCCTTCAATATGCCTACCTATACATATTCTGTTGGAGAAAATTCACCGAATTAGAGTAGAGATCACAAAATATGAATCGGAAACGTCAATAACAAAATAATCACGAACTTGTATCAATGAATGGCTTAAACACGATATCGTTATTCTCAAACGATATTTGCCCCTTTTCCTATGAATTTGAGATACTTTGAAGGTTGTTGATAAATGGCTAGCAGGATTATAACAAACCTTGGAAGGATTTAAGCACTAAAGTATAAGTGCAAATCCTAAAGAACTTGAAGAACACAAAGGATGAATATGAATATGGCTTTTAAAGACTTTGATCTTCGATTTTGGAAGTAATATAGAATCTTGATGTTTTTGCCTCAAACATGGATCCAATATATATAGGCATACACCACATTCACGAAATGGTATCAAACTTTAAGCCAAAAGTCACCAAATGCCATGCGACCGCATGGCACATGGACCATCTTTTTTTATTGTTGTTGGTTTTGAACAACATTATCACAGCAATCCCCCACTTGTTCAAAATTAACAAGTCTCACACATGCTTAAGGATTATATATTTTTCAATTTGAATATAACCATAGTGTAATTCAAACAAAGTATAGTCGGAATCAAAGGTAGCGTGTAGCTTTGAATCAATTATTCCATATGACAATACCAGTAAGAACACACACACGAGTACCACGTGTTCTCAAGTTCTTCATAACTCGCTTAGCGCTTTCATGGCCTTGCGCTTATCCTTTTCAACAATCTTTTAACAGAGAAACTCCAATTTTCTATTAAGGCGGCACCACCTTGAAGATTGTTTAGGTGAAGTTCTTCCAGTACCTTTGTTACCTTTAAAGGTACTTGTGTTTTAACACTGAACTTCATTAAGAGTTTAAAGCTCATCCCTCATTTATGTAACAATCAGCATTAATTTAATTAGGATAGGATTATTGCAGATTTTTTAATAATGCTGCAACTATTCACATATCGAATGACTTGTTATTACCCTTTGAACCCGTAAATTACCTTTTGAGTAATGACAGGTATGATTGCTGCCATTGGTGAACCTTTTTAGTTAAGGAGTTTCAACCACATCCTACTCGAAGTAGATGCTACTAAATCTCTGTTTACAGGTTTAGTCAAAGGATCCACTAAATTCTCAATTGACCTTACATAATTTAGGAAAATTATTACATCCTTGATTAACTTCCTTATATAGTCATGTCTAAAACTCATGTGTCTAGACTTTCCGTGTATAATACACCTCATTATATGTTTTTACTAATGTGGCTTGACTATCACAGATGATAGGTATTGAAGAAATATTCTTCGATCCCAAAGGTATCTCATAAAAGATATCCTTAAGCCACTCAACTTCTTTCTCAGTATCCGATAGGGCTACAAATTATGATTCCATAGTCGAGTGTGTTATGCATATTTGGTTCTTTGATTTTCAAGAAACAGCACCTCCTCCTAGAGTGAACACCCAACCTGAGGTGGATTTACTTTCACCCGTGTTAGATATCCAACTAGCATCGATAAATCCTTCCAATATTGCCGGAAATTTAGTATATTGCAGGCCTATGTTCTTGGTTTTCTTTAAGTATCCAAGAACTCTCCCAATGGCCCTCCAATGATTTTTGCTTGGATTGCTAGTAAATCTACTAAGTTTACTAATAGCATATGCTATATCTAGTCTTATGCACTGAACTGCATACATAAAACTTCCAATAGCACTAACATATTCCAATTGAGCAATTGCCCTTCTGTCATTCTTTATATGTTTTGAACTTGGATCAACCAGGGTACTATATTCTTTTATGTTCAAGTGTTTGAACTTGTTTATCACATTCTCAATATAATGTGATTGACTTAGGTAATAACCCTCACTAGTCTTTGTGACTTTGATAGCTAAAATGGTATTTACTTGACCAAGATCCTTCATTTTGAATGTGGAAGATAGAAACCTCTTTGTTTCTTCTATACCGTCCATGTGATTACTCATAATCAACATGTCGTCAACATATAAATATATAAATTTCACATAATCATGATACACTTTAGAATATAAACATCTATCTACTCTATTATGTTTAAATCCGAATGATGTTATAACTAAGTCAAACTTCTCATGTCATTTCTTATGTGCCTGCTTCAAACCATATAAAGATTTTACTAAATTGCATACCTTATGTTCATTTCCAGGTAGAATGAACCGTTCGGGTTACTCAATGTAGACCTCCTCATCGAAATCCCTGTTTAAGAATGCCATCTTGACATCCATTTGATGAACATGCAAGTCATATATTGAAGTCAATGCAATTAATATCCTAATCGATGTTATTCTGGCTACCGGTGCACAAGTGTCAAAATAGTTAATTTCTTCCTTTTGTCGATATCTTTAGCTATTAATCTAGCTTTGAAAGTATTTA